TTCCTATCGAAGGAGGTTCAAATGAAACTTCAATGCACCGTGTTGATTTCGACGCTCTGCCATACCTTGAGGTGCGCATACACATAATTATGGAAATGACGTAATGTTTCTTCGCTAGCTATAGTTGTGTCATGTCCCGTAGTTTTGCTGTTCATTGTTCTCAGACGCCTCTTTGACTATCTTTGTATATTGCTCCATTCGTCCATTTTATTTCTTACGAGTACGTATGTTAAATTAAACATGAACAAATAAATATAGACGGAGAGAATACATGTATAGGTGTTGAGTTCAGTACCTCAGCCTCTCACTTAGAGGGAATGCACTAATTCTAATGCCAATTATAAGGCCATCTGTAGACAATATTTTATGAATATAGCTGTGGTATCACAGAGATGGTTTTTGGAATTTGTGACACTGTCCGGCCCACTCTTATATGTGGGCTGTAGTCATCACTAGACTATGGGCTTGCTCTTCTGGTCCTGGGCTTCCACAGTTTCTATAGCGATTTTTTTTCATAAATAGTTATAGTTTGGATCATAATTATGAATAGTGTCAATAGTTTGTCTAATTACAATTAATAACAATAGTTTTAAAGAGGAGAGAGGCGAGCGAGATCACGACACATAAAGGAGAGAGACAACACACTATATCTCAAATACACAATGTCCTATCTCCCAATCTCGCACACAAACACACAAATAGGGGTGGCAAAATCAAATTTAACCCGCACAACCAGACCCAATTCATTTAAGTTTCGGTTGGTTATTGACCCACCCATTTGTTAGCTCAACCCATTTCAACTCATTAAAAATTGGATTGATATGTAACCCAAATTGATTTTTGAGAAATTCTTGTCAAAATATTTTTAATTTTAATTTTTAATTTTATATGTTATATATAGTTATAATAAAGTATTTTTTTTATTAGGTACTAAAAGCTTATAATATACTTCCTCCGTCCCTATTTACTTGTCCATATTTCCTTTTTTAGTTGTCCCTATTTAGTTGTCCATTTTGACAAATCAAGAAAGGACAACAAATTTTTTCCTATTATACCCTTATTTACACTTCTTGAAAATTGTAAAAGTGTATGTTGTTTCCCTCCAATTTATTTCACTTGAATTCAAATAAGTGGTTGTAATTTTGAAGTGAAAAGTTGTCATAAGGGTAAAATTGTAACTTCACTGTGCTAATCATTGTTGCCTTAATCTGTGTGCCATTTCTAAAGTGGACAACTAAAAAGGGA